TGTTACTTTCTCACATTGCATGAAATTCTGAAGTTGTGAAGAAAATGTCTCATGAGCCTTACCATCTGTTTTCACAGACTTTCACCCATCACAGTGCCTCCGCCTTACTGCCTGACAACTTTTAAATGGCCTGACCAGAGAGTTGAGGGAGATTTTGGAAAATTTGTAGTAGTAATTATTTTTTCACTCTTTTTCCGCTCAGGATTATAAAGTAGTGAAGAAAGTATCTGGTGATCCATTAACACCCAGCAGCCATCTTCACAGGACATCACCCATCACAGTGCCTCCACCTCACTGCCTGACAACAGAGGGAACCAGTGCCAAGAAGATTCTAGAAGTCACCCAGAAGATCATTGATCTGCAGAAAGGAGAGGTGAGCGGTGCCGAGAATTCTGGGACATTCTCCAGTAACAGACAAGGGATGTGTCTGGATGGTGACTGTATCATTGTGTGTGTCAGGTCCCTATAAGGTGTGAGGATGTCACTGTCTATTTCTCCATGGAGGAGTGGGAGCATTTAGAAGGACACAAGGACCTCTACAAGGACGTCATGATGGACAATCAGCCGCCCGTCACATCACCGGGTAAGAGGAGACTTTATTGTAAAGGAGAGAGCAGTACAGAGGGTCCACCTAGATCCCCCATCATCTGATAAACACATAGAAACAATGGATTCAGTCAGTGTGTGTGTTTCCTACAGATGGATCCAGTCATGGGAAACCACCAGAGAGATGTCCCCGTCCTCTGTATTCCCAGGATTCCACACAGGAAGATCACACCATCCCTCACCATCATCAAGTAGATGGATCCAGTAATGGGAACCCACCAGAGAGATGTCCCCGTCCTTTGTATTCCTGGCATTCCACCCCGGAAGATCACACCATCCCTCTCACCATCATCAGGTACATGGATCCAGTAATGGGAACCCACCAGAGAGATGTCCCCCGTCCTCTGTATTCTCGGGATTCCACACAGGAAGGTCACACCATCTCTCACTATCATCAGGTAGATAGATCCAGTAATGGGAACCCACCAGAGGGAAGCTCTCATTCTCTGTATGTCCAAGAATACAAACTGGAAGATTACACCATCCCTTACCATGATCAGGTAGATACCAAAAGTGACTCCAAACTGTATGAGATTATACTCTTCTATGTAGTCCTGTGTTCACATTTTAGAGGTTTTAATTTCTATAATTTTGGTTTCTTTAGCACAAAGAACAGATGTATATGAAAGTTGAGGTCAAAGAAGAAGAAGAAGAGGAGACCTCTGGGATGGGTTATCCACAAACTGCAGAGAAAGTTGGAATGACAATGATCAATAAACAGGAGGAACCTTCTCTAGATATCAGCACAGGTGGGTAATGAATGCTAAATACAGAAACCATGCAGATTTATGGATTGATGTTTAGGATATGCAGACATTCACATCATTAGGATGATGTCCACAAGGAAGTCCTAATGGAGAATCAGCCGCCCCTCACATCACCGGGTAAGAGGAGACTTTATTGTAAACGAGAGAGCAGTACGGAGGGTCCACCTAGATCCCTCATCATCTGATAAACACATAGAAACAATGGATTCAGTCAGTGTGTGTGTTTCCTACAGATGGATCCAGTCATGGGAACCCACCAGAGAGATGTCCCCGTCCTCTGTATTCCCGGGATTCCACACAGGAAGATCCCACCATACCTCACCATCATCAGGTAGATGGATCCAGTAATGGTAACCCACCAGGGAGATGTCCCCGTCCTCTGTATTCCCGGGATTCTACACAGGAAGATCACACTATCCCTCATCCTCATCAGGTAGATGGATCCAGTAATGGGAACCCACCAGCGAGATGTGTCCATCCTCTGTATTCCTGGGATTCCACACAGAAGATCCCACCATACCTCACCATCATCAGGTAGATGGATCCAGTAATGGTAACCCACCAGAGAGATGTCCCCGTCCTCTGTATTCCCGGGATTCTACACAGGAAGATCACACCATCCCTCACCCTCATCAGGTAGATGGATCCAGTAATGGGAACCCACCAGTGAGATGTCCCCATCCTCTGTATTCCAAGGATTCCACACAGGAAGATAACACCATCCCTCACCATCATCAGGTAGATAGATCCAGTAATGGGAACCCACCAGAAAAGAGATGTCCCCATCCTCTGTATTCCATGGATTTCACACAGGAAGGTCACACTATCTCTCACCATCATCAGGTAGATGGATCCAGTAATGGGAACCCACCAAAGTCAGAGATATGTCCCCGTCTTCTGTATTTCCGGGATTCCACACAGGAAGGTCACACCATCCTCCACCATCATCAGGTAGGTGGGACTGAGGATGTAGAATTCAAAAGTGATTTTAAACTGTATTAATGGACATTCTTTTATGTAATCTCTTGTTCCTTTTATTTAACTGCATTTTGTCATCTTTGGTGTCTAGGGTGGAAAACGTAAAGACGTAAAAAATGAGATTAAAAAGGAAGAGGAGGAGACATTGGTGAATGGTAGCCCAGCAGTCTATGGAGGAGGCTGGTCCTCTGTATTCCAAGATCTTCACAGAGGAAGGTCTAAGCTACACACACCATGATCAGGTAGTTGAGACTGGGCAAAAAGAACATAAAAACCTCAATATTATGAGGGAACATTTTTTTTTTATTGTATGTTAATATATTCAAAACATTTTCCAAATGTTGTTTTTTTTTTTTTTAATTTTTGGGGGGTTCAGGATGAAGAGCTGAAAGTCATCAGTACTGGGGATAAAGAGAAGAAACGTTGGTGAGTGGAGATCAGCAGTCTATGGAGGAGGGTGGTCCCCTGGATTCTCGGGATTCCTCATCCAAGAACGTCACACCATTCCCCAAACATCATCAGGTAGGTGGGATACTGGGCAAAAAGGCTTCAAAAAAACTCCATGAGATGCAAATATCTCATTGGCAATACTGAAAGGTTCCCAGATGTTAGACTTTGCCATTTTCGGGGTTTAGGGTGAAGAATGGAAAGACATCAAAGTTGAGGATCAAATGAGGAAGAAGAAGAGAGGTTGGTGAGTGGAGATCAGCCATCTATGGAGGTCATGTTCCAGATGATTATGGAAAGTAAACCGGAGGAATCTTCTCTACATATGGACACAAGTAAGTCAGAAACACTAAATGCCGAAACATTTTCACATTTTCATTTTACTTCTGAGTATGGGGTATGTAGTTATTTTGTTGCATTGGTTGGAAAAAAAAGAAGGTCCAAAAAAAAAACTCCAAAGCAGAATTTGATCCAGAGGAAGGAGAAACCCTTGTAATGGTTGGTATGCTTTTCTTTAGGAAGAAAACTATTCCTAAATGATCCCAAAAGTCAACCTGATGATCCCCAGATCATCTTTTTTTATTTTTTTTTATTTATAGTTGTGTTTAGGAACACCTTTTTATGCTCGCAGTAATATGACAATTACAAGTACAGGCACTGTGGAGCTAGAACATTTCCTGTGGAAAATCTATCGTCCTAATCGGCAAATCTCTCAAAACCTTTCTGTCCGCAAGAGTTAATGGGATTGTTCCTCCAGTGATTTAAGGTTTGTGCTGCCCTTGTTTGAGGTTAAATGTACAGACCCTTCTGTAAAGGAAAAATCCTTAAAACTGCTTGAAAATAAATAATCGTCGATTATCTATCCACCAAATAATGTTCCCAAATCACGAAGCTCCAGATTTCCCTAGAAGATTTTACTCTTGGCCATGCCATCTATTTCTCCTAGCAAACGAGGAGATACTGGACACCATATGGAAGGTCCATCTCCATTCCTCAATATAACGTCATGTCCCCAACAAATGAGGAGGAGATACTGGACACCATATGAAAGGTCCATCTCCATTCCTCAATATAACGTCATGTCCCAACAAATGAGGAGGAGATACTGGACACCATATGAAGGTCCATCTCCATTCCTCAATATAACATCATGTTCCCAAAAATGAGGAGGAGATACTGGACACCATATGAAAGGTCCATCTCCATTCCTCAATATAACGTCATGTTCCCAACAAATGAGGAGGAGATACTGGACACCATATGAAAGGTCCATCTCCATTCCTCAATATAACGTCATGTTCTGAACAAATGAGGAGGAGATACTGGACACCATATGGAAGGTCCATCTCCATTCCTCAATATAACGTCATGTTCCCAACAAATGAGGAGGAGATACTGTACACCATATGAAAGGTCCATCTCCATTCCTCAATATAGCGTCATGTTCCCAACAAATGAGGAGATACTGAACACCATATGGAAGGTCCATCTCCATTCCTCAATATAACGTCATGTTCCCAACAAATGAGGAGGAGATACTGGACACCATATGGAAGGTCCATCTCCATTCCTCAATATAACGTCATGTTCCCAACAAATGAGGAGGAGATACTGGACACCATATGAAAGGTCCATCTCCATTCCTCAATATAACGTCATGTTCCCAACAAATGAGGAGATACTGTACAACAAACATGACTCCTGAATGCAAAATAAAAAATACTTTAACACGTGTTTTTAAAACTTTCTTTCCAGCAGGTGGACATTATGTCCAGAATTCCTCTGAGGGACGTCTTTTTTTACCTCCAGATAATGACATGGCAAAGCTTCCTCCACCTCCGGGAGTAAATCCAATGATTCAAAACATACATAACAGATCTGACCAATCAGGGAGAACAATGGATCCCTCTCATTCTGAGGAACCTTCTTGTAACTTCTGTACTGTTTCTCCAGATATACATCCAAAATCTCACGGTGAGGAGAGGTCAACAGATCCATCTAGCCCTAAGGAGTCTCCTTTAAGCCATGAAGGAGTTCACACAGGAGAGCGTTCGTTGTTATGTTCCGAGTGCGGGAAATCCTTCACTGAAAACAGAAAACTTCTTAGACACCAGGAAATTCACATGGATGAGCGTCACTGTTCAGAGTGCGGGAAATGTTCAAGCGAGAGAAAAAAATGTGTACACCAAAGAATTCGCACAGGTGAGAATCTCTTTTCATGCTCCGAGTGCGGAAAAAGTTTCGCCGACAAAGGAAAGCTTAATTTACACCAAAAAAGCCATACAGGCGAGCGTCCCTTTTCATGTTCAGAGTGCGGGAAAAGTTTCATTCAGAAAGGAAACCTTCTTAAGCACCAGAGATGTCACACGGGCGAGCGTCCCTATTCCTGTTCAGTCTGCGGGAAATCCTTTATTGAGAAAAATGCTCTTGTTATACACCAGAGAATACACACGGGTGAGCGTCCATATTCATGTTCAGAGTGCGGGAAATGTTTTATTCAGAGAGGAAACCTTTTTAAGCACCAGAGGTCTCACACAGGTGAGCGTCCCTATTCATGTTCAGAGTGCGGGAAATGTTTTACTGAGAAGAATGCACTTCTTGTACATCAGAGAATACACACGGGTGAGCGTCCCTATTCATGTTCAGAGTGTGGGAAAAGTTTCACTAAGAAAACAGCATTTCTTGTACACCAGAGCAGACACTCCGGTGAGCGTCTCTGTTCATGTTCTGAATGCGGAAAATGTTTCTTTCATAAAGGAGACCTTCGTAAGCACTGGAGAAATCACATGGCTGACCGAATCCTATTCATGTTCAGAGTGTGGGAAATGTTTCAGTCAGAAAGGAAATCTTCTTAGACACCAAAGAATCCACACAGGTGAGCGACCCTTTTCGTGTTCAGAGTGTGGAAAATGTTTCATTCAGAAAAGAGACCTCTATAGACATCAGAGATGTCACACACGCGAGCACTCTTTTTCATGTACAGAGTGTGGGAAATGTTTTACTGACAAAAATATACTACTTCTACACCAGAAAATTCACTCGGGCGAGCGTCCCTTTTCATGTTCAGAGTGTGGGAAATGTTTCAACCAAAAGGGAAACCTTCTCAGACATCAGAGAATTCACACAGGTGAGCGTCCTTATTCTTGTTCAGAGTGTGGGAAACGTTTCATTCAGAAAAGAGATCTTTTTAGACATCAGAGATTTCACACCGGTGTGCTGGCATCCTTTTTCATGTTCAGAGTGTGGAAAATGTTTCCCTGACAAAAATGTACTTCTTTTACACCAGAAAACTCACACAGGTGAGCGGGACTATGCTTGTTCAGTGTGCGGGAAATGTTTCATTCAGAAAAATTCACTTCTGAGACACCAAAGGATTCACACGGGCGAGCAACTCTATTCATGCTCAGAGTGTGGGAAACGTTTCGTTCAGAAAGGAGACCTTATTGACCACCAGAGGATTCACACGGGGCGATCGCCCCTTCGCATGTTCAGAGTGCGGAAAATGTTTCAGTTACAAAAAATCACTTATTTCCCACCAGAGAATTCACAAGGCGCGGCCAATGTCTGCTCATGAATAACTTTGATTTATATTAGATTTAAGGTGTTACTAAAACCCAGACCCCGCATTCACTATATCCGCTCTCCCCGGACCCCGCATTCACTATTTCTGTTCTCCCCGGACCCCGCATTCACTATTTCCGTTCTCCCCCGGACCCCGCATTCACTATATCCGCTCTCCCCGGACTCCGCATTCACCGTATCCTCTCTCCCCGGACTCCGCATTCACCGTATCCGCTCTTCCCAGACCCCGCATTCACTGTATCCGCTCTCCCCGGTCCCCGCATTCACCGTATCCGCTCTCCCCGGACTCTGCATTCACCGTATCTGCTCTCCCCGGACTCTGCATTCACCGTATCCGCTCTCCCCGGACCCTGCATTCACTATATCCGCTCTCCCCCGGACTCCGCATTCACCGTATCCGCTCTCCCCGGACACTGCATTCACTGTATCTGCTCTCCCCGGACTCCGCATTCACTGTATCCGCTCTCCCCGGTCCCCGCATTCACTGTATCTGCTCTCCCCGGACTCCGCATTCACCGTATCCGCTCTCCCCGGACTCTGCATTCACCGTATCTGCTCTCCCCGGACTCTGCATTCACCGTATCCGCTCTCCCCGGACCCTGCATTCACTATATCCGCTCTCCTCCCGGACTCCGCATTCACCGTATCCGCTCTCCCTGGACTCTGCATTCACCGTATCCGCTCTCCCCAGACCCCGCATTCACTATATCTGCTCTCAGAACATTGAAATTTAATTATTTTTGTAAATATAAACTGCTAAATCCCTTTTCCCATCAGCAGTATATAGCAGTCTTGTGACTTCTATCAGTGTCCAGCAGAGCACTGGTTAAAGCTTGTAGGAGTAGTTTTCATTTTGCTCTAGGAGGATGCAGAACCCCTGCCCTCTGTCTGGACAGTGCTGGTTGGCCCTGTGCTGATCACATGCACCCTCCCAAGGAAAAAAAAAAAAAAATCTCTCTAGCAATACACACAAAACTGAGCATGTGCAGAGTGTCTGCACACAATATGTCTTATCAGGAGATAAGGGGGGGCACTGGAAGAAGGGGAGGATCAGAGAAGACAGGATCAAACAGCCTTCTTTACACAATGCGGAGTATAAACCCCTTAGGTCCCACAGTGAGTATAACCAGCATGCTTTGCTGCATCTACAGACTGATTGTACTGTTGGGGGTTCAGGAACACTTTAAGCTCCTTTTTTTTGTGTGTTATTCACTTATTTTGATTTTGTCAAATAAATCTTGAAGCTCCACGCAATATGTCTGAGTCCCTGTATTTACAAACGAACATAATTCTTAGTCATGACTGGAATGAGAATGTGTGTCCACAGAGAGCCATCCATTGGTGTTTTATATTGTAAGGATTCCTGGAGCAGCTACAAATGCCAGATAGTATGTTCCCATTGCCCCCATCTTGGTTCTCTTCATGGTCTTTGTGACGGGCTCTATCATTTTACAGTTGTCACCTCGATCATGGATACAGAGAACATGTACCCGACATGCTTTACCTGCACAGAGGAAGCCTATGGTAAGTATATTATGCTTGAGGGTCGCAATGACAACCCGGCTCATGCTCCAGGGGGCTCATGCAGCCTTCCTGTCACGTTAGGTTTTACACTGGTGTCTCTGGGGAAAAAAGTGCTTGCCGCAACAGTTTGGCAGTTTCGACTCTTCGACGTCATTGCGTACAATGCAGTGCCTGTCATCCAGTGACCCAGATAAGATTATTTAGTGAGCCATTTGGCTTTATTCCCCCTCGGATTCCTTCCCACCATACGACTGGTCCCTTGAAGCTGCTCCATTTCACCAGTTGTCCAGTTTCACCCTCTCCGACGTCATCGCGTACAAATACTTTAGTGAGCCATTTTGCTTTATGTCCACCTTGAAGGATTCCTTCCTGCCACATGACTGGTCCTGCAAAGCCATTCCATTTCTCAAGTTGTCCCATTTCAATCTCTCCGACATCATCACGTACAAATACTTTAGTGAGCCATTTGGCTTTATCCCCACCTTGGAGGATTCCTTCCCACAATATAACCGGTCCCTCGAAGCTGCTCCATTTCGCCTGTTGTCTAATGTTGGCCTCCCTGATGTCATCGCGTACAATGCAATGCCAGAGATCCTGTGAACCAGATAACAGAAATGCATTAGTGAGCCGTTTGGATTTATCCCCACATTGGAGGATTCCTTCCTGCTATACGACCGCTCCATTTTGGCAGCTTTCCAGTTAAGGGCTCTCCGACGTCATCACGTACAATGCAATGCCAGAGATCCTGTGACCCAGGTAACAGAAATGCATTAGTGAGCCGTTTGGCTTTATCCCCACCTTGGAGGATACCTTCCTGCTATACCAGTGGTGGGCAACCTTTTTTTTCAACTGAGCCAAATCTCGCCAAAACCACGATTGAAATTTATTTTGAGAGCCACATTTTTAAAACTGAAAATACATCCCCCATATAGTAATTCATCCCCCATATAGTAATTCATCCCCCATATAGTAATTCATCCCCCATAGTAATTCATCCCCCATAGTAATTCATCCCCCATATAGTAATTCATCCCCCATATAGTAATTCATCACCCCATATAGTAATTCATCCCCCATATAGTAATTCATCCCCAATATAGTAATTCATCCCCCATAGTAATTCATCCCCCATATAGTAATTCATCCCCCATATAGTAATTCATCCCCCATAGTAATTCATCCCCCATATAGTAATTCATCCCCCCATATAGTAATTCATCCCCCATATAGTAATTCATCCCCCATAGTAATTCATCCCCCCATATAGTAATTCATCCCCCATATAGTAATTCATCCCCCACAGTAATTCATCCCCCATAGTAATTCATCCCCCATAGTAATTCATCCCCCCTATAGTAATTCATCCCCCATATAGTAATTCATCCCCCATAGTAATTCATCCCCCCTATAGTAATTCATCCCCCCTATAGTAATTCATTCCCCATATTGTGTCAATTCACTTACCTTTGCTCCGCGCGTTCCTCTCGCCGTGTTCCCGCGCCGTTCCGGTCTTCAGGGAGGACTGTGAGAGGAGAGGAGTTCGTCACGCTGCCCCGCCTACATCCTGACAGCAATGTTTGCCACTGACTTTTGGGCGGCCGCCCGAGAGGAGGGCGCCCGGCACACAGAAGAGCCGCATTAATGTGTGTAAAGAGCCGCATGTGGCTCGTGAGCCGCGGCTTGCCAACCACTGTGCTATACGATTGCTCCATTTTGCCAGCTTTCCAGTTAAGGGCTCTCTGACGTCATCACGTACAATGCAATGCCAGAGATCCTGTGACCCAGGTAACAGAAATGCATTAGTGAGCCGTTTTGGCTTTATCCCCATCTTGGAGGATTCCTTCCTGCTATACGACCGCTCCATTTTGGCAGCTTTCCAGTTAAGGGCTCTCCGACGTCATCACGTACAATGCAATGCCAGAGATCCTGTGACCCAGATAACAGAAATGCATTAGTGAGCCGTTTGGCTTTATCCCCACCTTGGAGGATTACTTCCTGCTATACAATCGATCCATTTTACCAGTTTTCCAGTTAAGGGCTCTCTGACATCATCACAATCCAGCCTTGTATGTGAGGATGTCAAGGGCCCGCCCACATCCTGGGATGGGTGTCAGAGAGCAAAAGAGAGCACTGACTGCGTTCCTCTACTTTATACCCCTCCAGACTAAACAAGTTTATAGACCTCGCTCTCAAGGTGGGGCACATGAAACTAAAACCGTAATGCTGACTGGAGTTCAACTTTAATATAGTGTAGATTACCAATCCTTAGTTTGGTGGCTGCCTTCCTTTTATTTTTCCAGGCTCAGAATATTTTCAGCAAGCACTAAAAATGTCAACATCCTTGTCACTTCCTGTACAATTAACTCAAATAATGTGACTAGCCTTCCAAGCTATCTTCTGTGAACTACCCCTCCCCTGCAAGGGATAAATTCCCTGGAAAAAGAAAACTAATGCAGCTGCCACATCCCAGAACTGGTAAGCTGAAAATGAGCAACCAAAACTTCTGATTGATTGTTTTGCACCAATCAGCAGCACTGAGGTACCTTGTTCACGAACGCAGTCGTATTTTGATTGATCAGATTACATGGCGGAGATGCAATTCATGACCTAGAACTGTAAGTTGTGATTGGTTCTTAACCCCTTCCATACCAGGCACTTTTCCCCCCTTCTTGTCCAGGCCAGTTTTCAGGTTTCAGCGCTCTCACACTTTGAATGACAATTGCGTGGTCATACAACATTGTACCCAAACTAACATTTTATCATTTTCTTCACACAACTAGAGCTTTCTTTTTGGTGGTATTTAATCACCACTGGGGTTTTTATTTTTTGCTAAATTAACAAAAAAAGACTGAAAATTTTGAAAAAAAAAACACGTTTTTCTTTGTTTCTGTTATAAAAGTTTGCAAATAAATAATTGTTCTTCATAAATTTAGGCCGAGATGTATTCTACTACATGTCTTTGGTGAAAATAACCCAAATTAGGATGTATTATTTAGTTTGTAGGAAAGTTATAGAGTTCACAAACTATGGTATAGATCTGAATATTGATCAATCCTGAAGTACTGACAGCCAATCTAATTTCTTGAGGTCCAAGAATGTCAGAAT